AAAGGTAAAGTTAGCACCATACAACTTCTAATTGCTTCTTGTATGGGTGCTTAAACCGTATGGATTATCGATAGAGGTCGGACACTTAAAAAAAAAAATTTCTACAAAGGTTAAATCTATGCTATAAGAGGTCATCCTTAACTTATGTTTTAATTTATGTATGTATGATTATTTGATTTAACGGCTAAATCTTGGGAGCCTTAGATGAAAAAAAATTGATTTTATTTTGCATCTCCATAGGATACATGATCCTTCACATTGTGTGGGAGAGAAAATGGTAATAGGGTGGTGAGTAGGTTGAAGTTGGAGATCATATTCTTCATTGCTAATTAGGCAAGGATTGATTTTGTCTACATTCCGACGAATGCTTTTTGATTGTCAAAAAGTTGAATGCGATTGGTATTATTATTGATAGATTCATTACCTACATTATCGAGAAGTTAAAGCTCGTTTAGTCAACGTACAACATCATTGACATCAACAAAAGGACACAATCACATGAATCTTGAGAAATTGATCAAGATTGGGTTATTATAAAACAATGTCAAAAAATACCTTGTCCGATTGACTAGGAGACAACGACAAGAGGAGGAATGAGAGTCAAGTAGTGAGGGTGATATAAATGATGAAGCTCCACAAGTAGATGAACGAGTTTCATAAAAGGGTGCTTCAAATGGCCGGTCGAACAAGATGGAATAGCTTACATCACGATTGGATGGCTTCCAACTCAATGTCAATAGTCGACTAGAATTTTTGATCGAGCAAGTTTAGAATATGAACAACAACCGATTTCACATAGTCAACACCTAGATAGACCATTACTACGTCGCCTTCACATATATTTTCCACCACCTTCATTCGAGGGTCGCCATCCGCATTTTTCTCGTTATCTCTTTATCTTTCCATATTGTTTATATTTGATCTAATCTGTAGGACATTAAGGACAATGTCTAATTTAAGTGTAGGGTTATGTTTAGCATTTAGGCTTTTTTTTATTATTATTTTTTGTGTTTATTTATGTAATTTGTGTGTTTGTTTTAGGCTATCCTCTAAAAAAAAAAAGATTAATAATGAAAAAAATGAATGTCATGGTGTAATGTGATGTTCTTACCGATTGATGTTTAGTGCTAAGTTTGATGAAATTTGATGAAATAATTAAAAATATTTGGGATATTATTGTTATAGATACGTATGCATGATAGAAAGCTTTATGTGCTTTTATGATTGAACATAATTTAGATAGTAATACCGACTTTGCAAGTACCCTTTGGAAACTAAACCTAAGCATGATTTAAATAAATGAGAATTTCTAATTCTTATGGAAATTTGAAAAAGAATATTTGAAAAGCATTCCATTAGAAAGTTTGGCCTTATTAAGTAAAAATTCTACTTTAATGATTTGAGTTGCTTAGTAAGTAGGAATATTCGTCACAAATGTCTATTTTTACATTAAACGATAGTTCAAATTATGAGTATACAAAGCACCTTAGTTGATGAGTTACTAAGTAATCGGTTACCTTAATCACAAATGTCGATAATCGCGTAAAATGGCAAGTGGTCACTTAGGAAAAAACTATTGAAGGCCTTGAACATAAGAACATTATGATGCTTAAAAAATAAAAAGTTTTGATTAAAGAAAATCTCATTTTATTGCTTTCCTTGTAGTAGTGGAAAAGAGGTAAAGGTAACGTTGGTATTGCATACTTGAATTGTGTTTGGTCATGAAGATGCATAAATCAATTTAGAGATATGCATTGATATAGTAATCATATTTTGAACATAATCGATTTGATTGTTAGATTTTGTTGAATTCTAAATTGAGCATTAATGTTTGGAAGAATAATCATACTAGCATGATATTTGTTTGAACAATTTTATGGGTTTATCATTGGAAAACCCTCATGAGATGCAACTCGTCTACTATTGGTAACCTAGAGGTTTAAAGGCTTGTTGCCTATGCTAAATGCAATCGTTATTCTTATAAAATTGAGTTAGGTTTTTGTTTATTTGTTTTGCTTGACGACTAGACAAGTTTAAGAGTGAGGGTATTTGATGAGTGTATAATTAGTATTATTTTCATGCTCTATTACGTTAAACTTTCTAATGTTTATTGTATTATATTATTTTAATTAAGATCAAGATGATGGTTTTAAGTCTTTTTGGAAAAATGATGAATTAGAACATAGAAACCCAAAACTAAAGCAAGAAAGAGAAATCATCAAGGAAGCTAGGAGTCACATAGTTATGCCACTCACAAAAGAAATTAGCTGCTGACCATGTGACATTAAGGAATAAACCGTATGGATTGCTTAGTAACAAAGCCATACGGCAATAGCATCCCATATGGCCAAAGAAAGAAAACCCACAAAGCCATACATGTGTCAAGCTAGATTATCTTCCAAGAGAAAAGAAAACTACATGGGTAGTAGGCATTACAAATGATTTATAGAGAAGAGAGACACATCATGTCTCACAAAGCGAAGAAGTCTACACAGGTAGAAAGAATTAACATGGCTTGAAGGAAAAGGGAACACGACCGAGTGCCTCTATTAATCAATCAAATCATGTAATACCCTTTATTCAAGACTTCAAACCATGTGAAGTTGAGTAACAAACCATGTAATTTTATTTAGCAATTCGTGTGGCCATGTAGGACTAACACTTATACAATGCAACCTAAATTTTAGCTATAAGTAGTGATTTTAGGGTTTTATTTCAGGATCCAACTTCTAGCAGTCACCATAGATAGAAAACTCTCCTTTGTAACCCATTATGAACAACTAAAAACCATTCTTGATTGAATCAAGTTGAAGCTTTTGGTTTAATCACCATGAGATTATGACTTCTATTCTAAACTTATCTTGTTTGAGTATTTTATGCTTTTCCGTATGATTGGTTTATAGTTATATGATTAAATTAATTATAGTACATGCTAGTTTTTTGATCATATTAACTTATTGCTAACTAGGTATTCAAGTCCGTGTAATTGCTTGTCTAAACTTACGTATGATAGTAACTAAGGGTTGATGATTATTTTTCACTTTTTCATTCAATCTCTTGAAAAAAACATAAAAATAGGCTACATCTTTCTAGCATCTAGGAGTATGGTTTAGCTTCACTCGTCTTTCTCTCGATTAATACTCTTATTAGATTAAATCTATCTAATGCTTAGTAAGTTGTTTGGTTGCTAGGAAATTAATCAAGAATTGTATACTCGCTTAACGACTAAGTAAGAAAATTTTAGGGACAAGGAATATGTTATTGTCCTATGGTAAATATTCATGTTTAGGATAAATTAATGATTTAATTGATGATCATTGACAAAAATAAAAGTGGATACTAAAGTTCAACCAAGGTTCCTTTATTATTGTTATTTCGATTTACTTTAATTGTTTTCAAACACTTCAAACTCTAAACCCCCTTTTTACTACTTTTATTCTATAAGAGCAATCAACTAAAAGAAACTACCAATTAAGTCTCTTTTATGTGGATTCAACCCCTACTAGTCTTAATTACAATATTGTGGTTAAGCTCTATAAGGACATTATAAATATCTAATTTGTTGGTGGTACGACATGTCATTATTAGGGGATTGAAAAAAATCTTCCAAACTTCGTTTGATAGGAATCATAGTGGAAAAGTAGGCTACCAATTTGGAGCATATTTCTTCAAAGCTTAGGATAGATTCATGGTCCGGATTGTTATACCACTTTTAGACCTCCTTAAAAGGTGGTAGGTAGCACTTTGCACATGACCTTTGAACTCTAAATGATAGGTTTAAGATTTCCTTAAAAAAATCTATGTTCCCAAGGGTTAGTTGTGCCATCATAGATGTCCAATATCGAAGTTTATTTTTCCAATGGAAACTTCTATTGGGAGTTTGGCATTTAGTATGTGTAAGGTGAGTGGAGAGGCCTAGAGCTAATGGATATAGTACTTACACTCCAAATGAGTGGCGACTATCAATTATTTTTCCTTACATTAGTGTTTAAGCCTAGGACTTATGGATGAAGTTTTAAATCATGAAGAGTTATCCTCATATCCGTTCCTATGCATGTAATGGTCTATGCTATAGTTGTTCTTAGTGCTTTGATGACACTCCATTTTATCATCTTTTCTTCTCTTTAAGAGGTTTGGTTGATCGGCGCGTTTTTAGGGTAGTGATTCTTCTACGGTTTTTAAGAGCGATGCTCTCTTCTTTCGACCTTTTATTCACTATAATAGATTGTTCCCTCTTGTGCAAACTAGGGTAGTCTTTCTTGGTGTGGTGTATTTGTTGGATGTAGATATATTGGTAGAAAGACAATTTTTGGGCCTCGCTGGGGCCTTCGTTGATTTTGCGGGGTTAGTAAAGTAGTTACCTATTTGATCTACTCTCGAGTCAACATGTATACATTAGTAAGTAGCTTGATACATCGTTGAACCTACACAATATCAACTCGGTGGAGCACTCGGAAATTGCAAAATACACCGGCACCGATCTTAAAGAAGTTTCTTGATTTTCAACCATGGGAAAGTTTGGAGAAAGGAGAAAAGAAAAAGATTTATGGATTTGTTTTTTGCTTGTTTCCCAAGGCGGCACTACTAATGAAGTTATGATTCCTCAATAGAATGAATGGATGAATAAGTTTTTCTCTAGGCTAATCGAACTATGATGGAGTGTTTGAGGATGACAATCTTGATGACGGTACTTGTAAAATAAAGTCCTCCTCCTAGACTTAGGATGATCCTTTGATGACTAAATTAGTTTACATACAGAAACAAAAATTATGTATGATGCCTTAGTAAGCTTAAGGAGAGTGATATTTTGCGTAGAATAGAGAAAAGTACTTTTTCTGTGTTTTATTAGCTTTGCTTTGCTTTACCTCTCCTTTCTCACTATTTATGACTTGTCTTTTATAGTGTTGGTGTATATCTTGCTTCTCGGGATGTTTGAGACATATCTACCCTTTATAAGGATAATTTGGTAGTTATATTTAGTGTAACAGCTACTGTCAGACATGTTTGACAGGCATGGTGATTTTCCTATGAGAGCACCCTCTGTTGCTATAAGACGTGTTCGTAGCATAGGGTTTGAGTTAACTTCTGTCCTATCGTTCCTATGTGATAGGAGTCTTGGAGATATATTGCGGGACGGGAACGGATGAATCCTGTCTGTGGAAGTCTTCGTCACACTAGGTCCCGTGCAGTTGCGCTTGTACATGGATCCTTCATGATGGGTGACATGTGTAATGAATTTTTTTCAGGTATATCAATCACCACTATGAATTCCAACACAAACCTAAAAATCCTCCAAAATAAAAACCCAACGTGATGAAATTATCACCCAATCAACAGCTCAAAAAAATAGCATAACCAAAATCTGTAATGCCATTGATTATGATTATTTTCTTGCACAACTATTATTTAATTAAAGTAATGCACAATATCTTATTAAATGTGACTGTCACCGGTTATTAATTAGCCTTCTCACATGATCAAATGCCCTATCATTCAAAAAGCGAGCGAGGCGAGACATTTTTCTTTCATTAAATGCATAGTTGGAATGAACATGCTATGCTTAGTACTATGTGAGCCATCAAATAATCATTATTGTTATTTTAATATTGCCTTAGTTAAAACTAAAATGGGACTCATTAGTAGAAAATGGAGAGTTACTCGTCTTCATAAGCCTGGAATACAACTGAATGTTACGATTTCAAAAAGGCACAATAAGAGTGATTGTTTGAGATACTCAGGTGAGGAGCTTTTGTAGCTACCAAGCTAATATTCATTTGGTGAGTCAGCATGACATGCCTTTAGTGGGAGCTCCACCATAGCATATAATCATGCTATTTGTGCTAGGTCGATCGCAAAAAGAAGTGATAGAGCGGATTTCTATTTCATCCTTATGTGATTCCTATGGATTTTATGAATCCACATTGTACCCTTTGATACTGAGAACTATGTCATGAAACAAAGACTCGATGTCGCTACTTTAGCATGTTATCCAAGGACCACGAATCATGTGATCCAACATAGCATGTCTAGGAAAACAATTAAATCAAAATTAACTGACAGGATGAGCTAAGAAAAACTGATCTTGAATCATTTAATTTGTGACTAGTTGTTCAAGCGGATATATGAGGTAAAAATATTTGACATAACCATAAGTATAAGTGCAAAATGCATAGGTCTATGATATTATTTTGAGAGGTCAGAGATATCTAATCTAGCATGATTATTTTTTTTAGGATATAAACGAGATCCCGAGTTATAATGTTATGTTAGCTTTGATGGTGGCTTAAGATAACATTTCTCACCCCTCCCCCCTCTCTCTCTCTCTCTCTCTCTATATATATATATAGAGAGAGAGAGAGAGATTATTGGGTTGCACATTCCATTTTTTTTATAAAGAGGAGAACAAGATAGATGTTTTTTTTTTTTAGAGACAAGATTGCCGCTAAAAATACCTAACATGTACAAGTGGGAAATCTTGTAGACAATGTCACCTTGAGTATTATGTTAAGCGATGAGCCTGATTTAATTAGATTAAATTTGTAGATAACTTGTTCTAAGACTCTTACAGGATAGAGTTAGAAAAAGACATGGCTCTTTGATATAAAAATTCTTTTTTTTTTTTTTTGTTTTTGTTTTTGTTTTGTTTTTGTTTTTTTTTTTTTTTGGTGGCGTGTGCGCATGATTTTTTCTGGATATTTTTTTGTGTAAGTAGAAAAAGGAAAAACACTTCTCCATTATCAATGCTTGTTTTCTCCTAGGCAACATCAAAACCCTAGAGATTTGAGCAGCGTGTCAATGAGTCTCTAATAGCCACTGAAGGTACGTGATTGGTTTCATTAATTGGTTTCTACAGATACAGCGACCTTGTAATTTAAATGAAAAAAAAATCTTGATTATTTGACGACTAATCTGGTATGTTTATCAAACCCTTTTACTCATCAACACTTTTCTTTTATATCAACCTGCATTCATTTTTCTTCCTTGCCCTTTCCACCAGAAAATTTCACCTATTGTCACTCTGCCGAAAATAATCATTTTGTTATGCAACGTTTCTTCAGTAACGAGTTTTAATGGACTGGATTTAGAGTACCTGACTATTTGAGAGTTGTCAAAATTTTTTTATTTTTTATTTTTGTATTTTTTTAGGAAGCATGCAGTTCCTCATTTTTATCAACTTCAATATGCTTATTCAAAGTTTGAATGTATTTCAATGAATTAACACTATCACTTCTAGAAATGCATTCTTGTGTGACCACATAAAATGCAACTTGAGATTAAATGTTATATGTGGTCCTCATAAATGGACCTCTGTTTACCTCAAAAACAAAGTGCTTCACTATCCATGTTGATCTTTGCTATTAGGAGACCGGATGATAGAAGAGGTCTTACATATAGCAATGGAAAGCTACTTTCATAATGTCTTTTCTTATATTTATGTAAGTAGATATGTATTTCTGATTTGATAATTTTGGACTGTATATGAAGGAGAAATAAAGTGCCTAAAATAAGTAGCATCTCCTGACGGTGCATTAATGGTGATGAAATGTCGAGTCAGAAAAGAGTATGAGGCTGATACAGCGAAGTGCACTTGGATGGTCAATACAAACTCTTGGGGAGAGTGACTTGACTCTTTTAAGACCTTTCCCTTTAAGAATTTTCTCAGCCCTCTGTCACTTATGTGGGGTATAGCTGGGGGCTTCCCGGAAAACCACGAGCTTGATATGGATATACTTCAATAATACTCCTGAACAAGGGTGCTAGAATTAGGAATGGTGCGATTTTGGAAATTACAGTCCATGCATTTACTTGTACTATTATTTTATTTTATTTTATTTTGGGTTAGAGAAATCACGTGCTTACATTAGGAGCAATATATATATATATATATAGTTAGGTTGTTCTTACATTTTGTTTCTCTAAAGCTGATGATAGGGATTAAAACTAAGATTTCCTCCATTTCGCCCCTCTTGAGTAATTGCCAGAATAGATATTGATATGTTGGGCTTGCTTTATTTTTCTTCTCCTGATGAGAATGATAGACAATGAACTATATATCTAGAGACGGGAGCAATAAGTTTTACGAATGTTGCCAGGAAGGTGTAGAACCTAGAAATTGTAGCCATGCTTATCGGCAAATGGGGCCCATTTTGCCTTTACATAAGTTTGATTACATCATTGTGTCTAAATCCCAATCTCCCCAAAACTGTGGTTATTCATAGTATGATGTGATGGTTATATTGTTTAAAATAACGGTGGAAAGTATTAACAATGGGCAATCTGGCCAGAGGAGGAGTTCTCCTTGCTGCGTTATAATATAAGAAGTAGGGAAGCCTCCCACTGGTAGAATTTAATAGTTTCGGATGAAAAGAAATGTTCTGAAGTGTCATACTGAAAAAGTTGACATCGTTTTATGCATGACGACACCATGATCCAATGCATTAATGATAGAAGGATAGTTGCTGTTACATGTAAACCACAAGGTAAAGAAGGATAAAAAGTCATAAATAAGAGAAAAGAAGAGCCTATTTGCTTTTCATCTATGGCAAGTTGGGTCAAGTTTTCACACCTTTTTTGAGTTTTGACAAACCCTAATTTTTTCTAAATGGGAATTTCACCACATCATTGGCCTGCAGTTTTCTCAAATAGCCCAAGTCTGTAATCAGCTAGCCTTGACTTGTACGCAGACCTTTTGTATTCAGACCATGTGAACTCCCTGTATAAGCTTTCTTCTCTTTCTGCAATAAGGGAGGTTAAAGGTGCTATCTTTTCACCCAGAGGCGGACCACCAAAGAAAATCATAGAAATCCTTGACTTAAGTGGATCAGCCAAAACCCTGTGCTTCACACTTTTAAACCTTCCATTAGTCATTACCTGCATCAAAGTCCCAGAACAAGTCAACAAAGTTTCATAGAAATTAAGATTTTTTTTTCTTTTCGGTAAATCTAGTAAGATATACTTCACAGTAATGGCACGAGGTTTAAGTACAGAAAAATATGTGAGAGTTATGTCCATCGTTTAATATATTTTTTTTCCTTAAAAAAAAAAAAAAAAACCCACTTAGTTGGGTGGGGACCATAACAATAGAAATGAGTTTTAAAGGCATATTTTGAACTTACTTGCTAAGTTGCCAGATGCCAATTTTTTTGTTTAAAATAAAAAATAAAAAATTAAAAGACTAATGCTAGCTAGACAGACAGGAAGAGGATCACAAAGAAAATCCCACCAATACAAACAAAGACACGGTGATAATTACAAGTAAAAAACATTGTTACGGAATAGAATAAAAACACAAAGTAAGTAAACAGTACTACCTGCAAGGCATCCCCAACATTGAAGAAAAAGGAGGTCTGATCAGGTGGGACTGAAACCCAAGTCCCATCTTTCAGACAAATTTGCAGGCCATTTGTGTTGTTAGATCTTAGAACAGATATTATCTGTGGGTCTGTGTGCTCCCCAAAGCCAATCAAATTTCTACCACTCAATGCTTGCAGCTCTGGGCATGGTGGGTAGTGGTTTAGCCTAAAACATGAATCGCTCTTATCGTTCCTCAACATCCTACTGAACACATTTCTTGACTCAATCCCCAGCCCATCAGCTATCAATTCCAATACTTCGAAAGTCATTCTCTTCACTGACAGTATGTAATCTTCAACCGCATAGCTACAACAAAGTACAAATATATATTAGAGTTAACGAACTTTAATTAAAAAAATCCTTAAATATTAATACGAGCTAGCAGTAGCAATAATATGGTACTGTAATTTGGTTAATATTCTAAATAAAGTAACATCTTGTCGGTCGAACTGCTCAAGTCAGGATTATAGTACTGCAAAAGCTTATCCTGTGAAAACAACAGGCATGAAAAGAAAGTAAGCAAATTAAGCAGCAGGGCGGTGCTTTCTTGTATCACATATTTTACCGGAAATTTTGTTGGTTTTCCTGGAAAATGGAGAACGTTTTTTGGAAGGCAATTTGAGGGTTGGTATTGAGGAGGAGATATTCAACCCAACCAACATCCCCATTAGGGCCAATTTTCTTGTTTCCATAGCCAAAAGGATCAGGAGGTCCAATTTTGTCTTTCTCAGGCTGGGGAAGGTTAAAGAAGTTGGTAGCTAGAGCTTCCAACTTTGTCATGAATTCCAATGGAACTCCATGACTGACCAGCTTGAAGAATCCAAACTCTTCACAGGCCTTGACTATGAGAGTCTTGGCATGAGGGTCTGTCAGGTCGACCACTGGTATCGTGGAAAAGAAGGCTACAGGTTTGCATGTTTTGATTAGTGAGAAAGGTTCTAGTGCTGGCTGTGAAAGTACCACCATGGTTTGTTATTAGTTTCTTCACACTAACAAGGACAAAAGCCAAGAAAGAGAAAGAGAGAGAGAGAGAGAGAAGGAGAAGGAGGATGATGAGAATTTGGCTTGTTGAGATAGCAGAGATAGGGTGTTGGGATTGATTTATAGGCAAATGGGTGAGGACGCTAGTGCACGAGAGGGGTGTGTGTCTGTTCGTGTGAGATGGAGGAAAGGTGGGACAGAAGAGTTACTAGCTATAAAGAGGAGCCATCTGGCTTAGCATTGTCTGTTTGGCTTATAAATGGGCAAATGGGTGAGGATTGTTAATAGGGTAGGAGGGACAGAAGCTTTAGTAACTATAAGGAGGAGCCATCTGTCTTAGTGTTGTCTGTTTGGCATTGATGCTATCGAGGGAGAGAAAATGCTTAGATTTTTCCTTTCTTAGTTTTTTTTATTTTCTATTTTATAGTTTGGAAATGAAAATGTTATAGATAACTATTAGTAGGTTACCCGTGCTACATTAAGAGTCTAGTAGAACAAACTCATTTAAAATTTTTTAAAAAAAATTTAATTATAATTTCTTATTTAATTAATTTTTTCTAATGTTTTTTATAAATTCTTTTGCTTGAAAAAACATAAGTCATTATTCTTTATGGATGAAAAAAAAATCTTCTCATCAAAATTAAAAAAAATTAAAAAATATATTTTTTCATAATATTTTATTTCAAAAAATAAAGTTATAATTAATAGATAAACTTTTATAAAAACTAACAAATGGAAAAAAAAATTCTTATTTAATGCTAATGAGAAGATTAATTTTGAAATTATCAATGCAATGCTACAATAAATAAAACAAAACCATTTCAAAATTTTATAATTTTTTCATTAATTTTTATTTAATTATTACTTTTTTTGTGTTTTTCATAAAATTTTTGCTTAAAAAATAATTTATTTTTCTTTATATAGGGATTCCTAAATAAAAACTTGTAATATATAATTTAAATTTGAAATATTAATTAAGAATATAAAAACAATGCTTTAAAAATATATTGTTTTAGAAGAATATATCCAAAAAATAAAGTTACAATTAATGTATAAACTTACATAAAAATTAACCAATGAAAACATAAAATATTTTTTATTTAATGTTGATGAGAAGATTATTTTTTTAAATACATATATTTGATTTATATATATTATATAATCGTTAGTTTGTATGGAAAAAAAATAATGATTGATTTTTAAAAATTTTAACATCCAATTAAATAAAAAAAAGAACATAAATTGATGAAAAAAATCAAAGAAAAAAAGAAAAAAAGTGTGTAGTGCATTAGTTAGGGATTCAAATTTTTATTTTAAAATTTTAGGAATTAAAATGAAATAATTTGAAATTACAAAAAAAAAAACTAAGGAAAAAAAGTAAGTGTGAAAATTAAAAAAATAAAATCAAACGGAATAATTTAAAAATTAAAAAAAAAACCTAAGAAAAGAAGAAGAAAACTAAGAGTGAAAATTTAAAAAGAAAAAAAACATGTAAGAGTGAATAGTATATTGTGAGTGTAAAATAAAAAGGAAAAAAAGAAGTGAGTAGTACAAAAAAGGTTTAGGATAGTAAAATTTATTTAGTTTTAGTATAGTAAAGATAAAAATCAAACATAATAAAAATTAAATGACTAAAATAAAAACATATTATAAAATAGAAAAAAAATATAAATTTTTACTAAAATTAAAAAAAAAACATATTTATTATAAGGATAAAATCAAATAATATATATATTAGAAGGAAAAAAATAAGGCTAGGCAACTGCTGGGTTCAATCCAAAAAGAAAAAAAAAAGAAAAGGAAAGAAAAAAAAAAGACAAAAGGCGAAAAATACTATTCATTGAACAGATGAAATGAATAGTAGAAGGCATAGTAAAAGTGCCTTCTGTTTTAGAATATTTTTAATGTTTGGTAAGGGAACAGAGGAAAAGGAAAAATAGGGTTTGGTGTGCGTAGGTCTCATGTTTATCCGATTCGGAGTCTCCATGCATTTTAAATCATCAAATATAAAAGAAAAGCGGGTAATTAGTTAAAGTTTTTTTTTTTTTAATCAAATATGGAGAATATTGATGTTTTATGGATTGTTATATTATAGGTCAAACAAATATACTATTACTAACAATTTGTTTTTGAAATGATAAATGAACTAGATTTTAGATGGATTTTCTATTAATATATAAAAATTAATCAATAAATAAATATACTACTAATGGGTCACCAATAATTTTATATACATCCAATTTTAGAAGTAGATATAATTAATACCAATCAAAAAATCAATCCAAAATAGAAAATTTATCTTCAACCTTTTCTCTTTTATTGTCAAAGTAAGTAAAAAAAAAAAAAAAAAAAAAAAAAAAAAAAAAAAAACCAACTTTTCCTATTGAAGTTTCAAGTTGTTTATGATCTTTTAAAAAAATACAACTAAGGATCGAATAATAAAATTACAATATTGAAATTTGTTACCAATATATGCAAGTATATCTTGTGGAAAATGATGGATTACTATTATTACGTCACATATGGAGATTTCTTATTTTATTATTAATTAACTACCAATTAAGAAAATAGTCTTCTATATTTTATATTTGCCAAGAAAATATTATCATATATATTTTAAATTTCATCGTTAATTTTGAATTCAATAAATATTTTATATTTGATGAAAGAAGTAAAATTTAGAAACCAAAATTCTTGCTTTTTTTTTTTATCATGCATTAATTATGTATATTTATTATTTTAATTCCGATAATATAGATTTAACTAATATTTAAAAGCTAAATAAAAACGTGATAGAATCCTAACCAATACGAATTACTTTGAGAAAGGACCCGACCCCGACTTCCTATTCAAGTAACTTTCTTTTTATATCAGAAAAGCGATTTAAGTTCATCCTTCTACATGTAGCATGCTTACCAAGTCACTATCCTCCAAAATTAGAAGACGAAGATTTCTCATCCTAACGAGGAAGTGTGTCATTTAATGGGGATTAATTAAATGAGTCATTATTATATCCATTTCCCAAGGAAACTAAGATTGTAAATTCAAGCTAAGTCTTTACTTTCGTTTTCAATTTGACTTAGGGTTAGGGGTAATCCTTGATGTACTAGTTAGCTAGCTAGTAATTTGAAAGGAAGCCGATTTGGGCTGGACATGAGGACCTATACCCCGTGCACAGTTCTCATAGCGGTCAAATAATATTCTTTCCTTTTTGGCTAGAAGAGGGGCTTTGAAACCCTTTTTTTTTTTGGTAATTGCAAACCGCAAACTGATTGAGACAATATCCAACTAGTTGGTGATCTGCCTTAAAATTTTGACATTTTACGTGCCTAGTCAACAGTGTATCCTAACATGCATGTATTTTGTCCAAAATAATTCTAGGTAACTTAAATATTTTAAAAACTACTACTATTATTATAATTGTTATACTATAATTTTATTTTATTTTTTTGTTAAAAAATAAGGATGCTTTTAGATTAGTTTTTATATATATCGAGATTAATTTTTTTTTTTTTAAATGTGATTAAGGAGAACTCCTTATACACAGTTTCGAATATTTTAAAAATAAATTTTTTAAAATATTATGTGTAGAAATTGAATTCTAAATCTAACTTACAAATTGATGTTTGCTTATCGATTAATTACTATTATGTAGTTATGTTATACTATAAATGCTATCTAAGGTTTAGTTTATGCATAAATTAAAACTAATTTTGTTTTTATTAGATGATTTTAAAAAGACACTTCCACATAATGATGTAGTATTTTATTGTATGGAAGTTTTTCAAATCATAATAAATATACATTGATAACTGTGAAATGGATACTAATTAATAGAGAAATCTATGGAATCCAGGTTCAATTAAGGTATTGTTAAATGAGCTGTGATTGGTGACTAGGTAGTTCGCTTTAAACATGTCTTTCCATTATCGCTTGTACATAGCTCTTGGATAAAAACACAACAATCAATCACTGGCAGGCTTGTAAACTGGTGCTGAGATACATCAAACACGCCATTCATTCTAAATTTATATATGCTAGAAAGATCATCTACTAGTAAGCTGCAAGCCTTTCCGGATGCAAATTGGGTAGGAAATAGAGATGATAAAAGATCTATAAGTGATTTTGTCATTTCCCTAGATCACAATCTTCTATCGTGGTCAGCAAATAAACAACCAAAGGTGGCAATTCTACAACTGAAGCTAAGCATATAGCCATTGCTAGTGTCACAACTGAATTTATATAGTTACATTCATTGTCAAAGGAGTTCGGCATTGCTCAGAGGCAAGCTACAATTCTCTAATGTGACAACATTGGAACTACAAATCTCACTTCCAAAGGTAAGGCTCGGACGAAATATATTGAAGTGGTTTATCATTTTGTACGAGAATAAGTTACTCAAGATTGATTGCAACTAATCGATTGATCGACCAAGGATTAGATTGTTGATATTTTCATGAAGCCACTACCTTAATAGAAGTTCAGTGAGTTATAGATATTCCATTATCATAATCAAGTAATAAATGATACATTTGAGTTCTAAACTAGAATAGATAAGTAAAAAATAGTTAGACATGTACTTGGAAATCAAAATTTAAAAACACTTGCTACTTATATATAATTTACTAGTTGACTCGATTAATGAAAATTCTAAACTACCATTTCTATAAATTATGCATGTTAGGTTGAAGGATATAGCCCCTTTTTGAAGAAAATCAAGTAAAAGAGCGAGATGGCAACTAACAAAATTATAGTTTCATTATAAAGAGCCGAGAAAACTACTTAGAAAACAATAGAAATAATGGCACTATAGCCAAGCTATAGAGTTATCCATTCTATATAGGCTACTCTTGACTAAAGCATCAACCATAGTAATCCCTTCGAGGGATGTGATTAAAGGAAATTGGGGCCAAAGACATTATCAAAGTATCAATAAAGTTAAAGAGACTCTAAAGCTAGCAATGTCTAGTCATAGCATTGTTACT